TTGGCACTCACTAGGTAGCCCAGGCTGGTCTTGAACTTACAGCAATCCTCCTGCCTCAGCCTCCTGGGTGCTGGGATTACAGGCGTGTGCCACCACACCTGGCCCTTATACAATGTTTTTAAACATTTTGAATTAGTCACCAATATTTGAAAATCAGATGATCTCTTCTGAAGATCTGTCTCTTTGCCTTTGAAATACCAAGCATCTGCCCACACTGGGATACACCTCTCCTTTGGCCACAGTGGCTGAGAAGCAGCTTTCCTAGGACCTTCAGCACCCCATGGCACATGAGTTTTGGAGTTTTCTAGTTGCTTTTCCTATCTGGGATGCCTTTGATACTGAGTCTACCCCCACCAACTTCCATTTCTCCCAGTTTTAACTGGTGTATTTTTAAGTACTCCACTCTGTAAAAGTGGAGATGTGAAAGGTGGAACAAGAAGGTAGTGATACATTTAAAAAAAAACAGCTAAAACCTTATTTGTGGAAAGGAAAACTATGGCTTACTCCCGGAAGTGGTCCTCCCTGATAAAAGGACATCTCTTACGCCTCTTGGACCACTGTGTTCATTTGTGTTGCTGAAGTTTTTCCTTATGATATTTATGATAGGTTACTCCCAAACATTTGCTGTTCTTTAACTGCTGTGCTTTTTGAAAGCCAATGTAGTACTGGGGCAGTCTTTGGGGATCAGAAGCTCTAACTTGGATTATGAGAGCAGTTTTATCAGAATTAGTGAACAACCTTCCCTTCATTTTTTAAAAATTAAAGTCACCAGTTGTCAGTTTGTTTAAACAAAGTTCCAATCCCTATAGCTCCTAGAAAGCAGAATTTACTTTCCTATTCTATTTTTTTTAAGTGTAATTTGACTTGATACAGCTTTTTTTTTTGGTACCAGGGATCGAACTCCGGACCTTGCGCTTGTGGCGGAACCATTGAGCTAAATCCCAGCCCTACTTTCCTGTTCTGATAAAAAAAAAAAAAGGGAAGATAGCAGATAAGAGTGAAAGTAATTAAGATAATTTGTGTGAGTCAGAGGACAGCTTTCTGAATCTGGATATGAAGTTGAGAGGAAGTGGGGAGGGTTAGAGGCCAAACTGGGGTCGGAAACTGGGAGACCTGAGAAATGGGCCACGTCCTTGTATCTCTGAACTCTTGTGTCTCTTTCCGATTCCTTTGCCCTTCACATGAGATAATTTCAAGGATCAAATGAGATAATGCTTGTTGAAGAATTCTGAATTAAAAAAGGAGGGCTGCAGAATACAACTGAAACTCCAGGAACTTGAGACTCATCCCCTGCAGCCGGGCCGTCAGCTGATTCTTTTGATTCCATCACCCAGATCCGACTCATGAATCTGTCTGTCCTGTCCACTGCCCCCTTTCTGCACGAGGTGTGGAGGTCCTCATTCCCTGATCTCCTGTGATCTGTGAGGAGCCTTTCTGGATGTCCCACCTCTGCAGGCCTTACCAACCCCAACCTCAGTCTGCAGTGTACCAAGGATCACTTATCACACCTGCCTGCTGGTTTTTCGGTTGTTTTTAAAATTATGGTAAAATACAGATAACATAAAATTTGCCATCTTAACCATTTTGAAGTGTACAGTTCGTTAGTGTTAAGTGCCCTCACACTGTGCAACCAGTCTGCAGAGCTAACTGCATCTTGAAAAACTGAAACTCTGTATCCCACTGAGTAGCAACTATTTCTTCTTTACCCCTGACCCCAGGCAACACCCATTCTACTTTCTGTTTCTATGAATTTGATTCTTCTGGGGACCTGTTGTTAGTGGGATCCGTCCCATGTTTAGTAAGTGTCAGAATTGCCTTTCCTTTTCAGGCTGAATAATGCTTGATATGTGTATGGACCACATTTTGTCTTATCTGTTCATCTGTTGATGGACACTTAAGTTGCTGCTAATGTTTTGCTGTTGGGAGTGTTGAGCATATGGATATACAAATATTTCATGGAGCTCCTACCTTCAGTTTGTTCACTTTTATACTCAGAAGGTGAATTGCTGAATTATACCATAATTCTCTTTTTAATTTTTTGTTTTTTGGAATTACTATACTGTTTTCTGTCATGGATACACTGGTTTTCATTTCCGCTAGGCCACAGCGTTGTAGTCTCTCCACATCCTCACCAACATTTGCTAATGTCTGTAACCATCCTAGTGGATGTGAGGTAGTTCTCATGTGCTAATGACCAGTGATCCTGAACATCCTTCCATGTCCTTATTGGCCACTAGTGTGTCTTCCTTAGAAAACTGAGTCCTTTGCCCATTTCTTAATAAGTCAGTTTGTTTTTGCTTCAATTTGAAGTTTCTTGGCCACTGGTTTTGAAGTATGTGAGAATTTCATGTGTGCTGCTGAGCTCTGAGAAGGCAGGAGTTCTGCCCGCTGCTCACCGCCTTCTCCACTCCAGCCCAGGGCCCTGTGTGTGCCCGTGTGGCTGATGAGCACAAATGCATGCAGCTCTCACAGCGAAAAACAGTGTGAGCCTGCTCAGACAATATTTGTGTGTGTTTGTTTTAATTTAATTTAATTTAATTTTGTTTTATTTTCTTTTACTTGGGGGAGGGACTAGGGATTGAACCCAGGGCCTTGAGAATGCAAGGCAAAGATTCTACCCCTGAGTTACATCCTCAGCCTCCATGCATTTACTCTTGCTTCAAGAAAGATTTACTTTGGAACCATAGTATTTGGAATAAAGAAAGGCGGGTAGCCCTCAAAAGGCTTTAGAACAAATAACCCAAAGCCTGTGCTGTTCATTATTTCCCAATTTCAGAGCTTATTTTGTTGAATGTAAATCTTATTTTACCTAATGATGATGATGGCCTGATGATGAAACTTCTCGTGTTTGGTTATTTTAGTTCCAGAATATGCTGTTCCTGTAGCCCAAGCTGATGGGAGGCTGAGGCAGGAGGATCACAAGTTCAAGCCAAGCCTGGGCACTTTAGCGACTTAGTGAGACACTGTCTCAAAAAATAAAAACAAAACCACAAAGGGAAAACAGATAGGGGTGTAGCTCAGTGTGAAGGTCCTGTTTTCAATCCACAGTAAAACACATGTGCACACACATGCACGTGCACACATGCCCACACACTCACGCTACCATCTAGTTAGTGTCCTTTGATCCTCTCTTAAGAGGCAGGGAAGATGTAGTGGTGTAAGTGGTGGGCAGAGTCAGGAGGCTGAGTCACATGAGTCTCTTCTGCCTCCCCTGCAGTGTCTATCAGGCAGGTCGGCCATCATGTCACCTCCATTTTTCTCTGTGGACTACTGGCCTCTGCCCTCCTCTGTCTCCTGACGTGATTCAGGCCCTGTAGCTCCTTTCCTGGATCACTGAGCAGCTTCCTGTCGGACAGCCTGACCTCAGGCATTGCTGCTGTCTGTTCACAGCTGGCAAGTAAACCTTACAAAGCACAAGTTTTGTTTTCGTGTTTAATGTGAATTTAGGGTGTTTCTGTGTTGTCTTCAGGGTGTAAAGGCCACGCCCTTTTGCTGTGTGGGCTTATACATGCTGAATGGGTGTTCACGTCAGCCTTGTTGCACCCTCTGCCTCTCTCTGCACTCCCCAACAGCCCTGCAGGTGCCGCTTCCTGAGCTCAAGATGCCTCCACTATTACCTGGCTGTCCCCTGGCTTCTGTGGGTGTCCTGTTCATGTGGACAAGCACCCACCCATATGCTCACCCCAGCTAGAGCCAAGCCCCGACTGTGCCACCCACTATGTTTGCCTCTGGACAGTCCAGCCTGCCTGTAGGGTGATTGTCCATTTGTCCATCCCCCTGCTGAGCTTGGCCACTAAGGGCAGCAACTTTTATCCCCGTATTTCAGCTGTTAGCCCAGTGCCTCTCCCAAAGTAAGTCCTAGTGGAAAGGAAAAGGGAGAGGGAAAAGGAAAGTCTGTCAGATTTCAGAGTTCATGTTCTCTGCCATTTGGTCTGCTGATTGTCCCATTCTCCCTGTCCAGGGTGGCTGGGGTTAGAGGTAACTCCCAGAGAAACTCAGTATGGCTTTACTTTGTTCTCTGGCCACCCATAGCCAAAATGACCCTGGCCTACCTTCTGGTAAACGCATCCCGGCAAAGGGATGACTCATGTGCGTGTGACTCAGGGTGAAGCAGCACAGCTGGCCAGGCATCAGGGGACGCGGTCACAGCACTGTGAGGCCCAGATGGCCCTTCTCCCGTCTCCTGTCAGCCTGCAGCTGGCTGCTGGGGCCAGGGCTGAATTCTCATCAGTCTTGGGGAAGGAGGTCACAGTGCCAGGGTCTCGTGAGACTTCATTCCCTAGGATTCTAGTGGATCCCTGTCATAAAGATGATAAGCCTCCATTCGTTGCAGATGTTTTGTTTTGTAAGTTACAGGTACTGTGATAAACATGCACACTGCAAATTATCTCATATAATCCTTATACTATCCCATCAGGAAAAATAACAGCAGATACATACATAGCACTTACCGTGTAGCAGACACTGTTCTAAACACCTCACACTTACTAATGTATTTATTTCTCAGAATAACCCTATGATACAGGATCTGTTATTCTCACTTTGCAGGTGAGGAAACTGAGGTGCAGAAAGGTTATCTATAGAGGAACCTCAAGGTCCCACATAATTGTGATGCAAACTCCACATGTGTAACCCCCCGCTGTGCTTCTTCAGTGAAGTGTGGCTGGAGTCCTGTTTTACCAGGAAGGTGATTGAGACACAGCGACTTTATTGTTTAGCCACTGTCAGACGTGCAGGGAGTCATGGACCAGTGACAGTGTTGATTGGCTCCTAACATCTGTGCTCTTGTGCCCAGACCCAGGAGACATATGGTCATAGTACCCAAAGACACTTCGTCCTCTGCATTGGTCCTCCCAAAGGCCAAGTCCAGAATTTGGGTAGGATGTTTGGGAAGAAGTTTTCTTCGAAGTCTAGGGCTACAGCAAGCGGGTGGTGTTTGATGGCACATTCTGTTCTCATCTGTTCACTTTGGGGTCTCACGGGATCTTCTCACCCCACAGACAGTGAGATGGTGTACTACCACTACGGCCCGAAAGACCTGGTCACAATCTTGTTCTACATCTTCATCACCATCATCTTGCACGCTGTGGTTCAGGAGTACATTTTAGATGTAAGTGACAAGTCCAGATGGTGCGATCAGTAGCCAGAGAGATGTCTGGGGTAGAGGACTTGGTCTTGGACAAAACCAGTTTTGCATCCTTGAGTCCCCCAGTTAGCACCCTCTGGTGGTTCCTACTGACTGGGGTTTCCTTAGCACATTTTGTTATCTGCCCCCTTCTACAGCCTCCTTTAATCAGCACAGGGACGATAGTATTTCTTACCTTGTCTGAAGAATGAGAAAACTGTCCTCTTTGGGATCTATCATACATAGCATGCTTGGGGGATGTTTTCTTCATGCGTAAGCTAAGGATGTTAATCTCAAAATATTTGCCTTAAACCAAGCTTACAGTAAATAACTTGGGTTACATCCAGTTGCAAGATTCTAACAGTACTCACCCCCTTTGTGGGGAGGAATCAGGAGTTGGAAATCTGCCCAATATGGATATACTCATATATTAATATGTTGGGTTTTCTTTATTCATTAGAAAATCAGCAAACGACTTCATCTCTCCAAGGTCAAACACAGCAAGTTCAATGAATCTGGGCAGCTGGTCGTCTTTCATCTCAGCTCAGTGATATGGTGCTTGTACGTGGTGGTGACGGTAAGTGGTCCCCAGGACTGCAGGACAGTGAGTCAGGCACGAGGCAGCCTTACCTCTTAGATTGCTGATAAAAGGACTGCAAAGCGTTCATAGGGAAGTGAAAGAGCACATTTCTTAGGACTGAAACTCTCTTTGCTTCCTTATGGTATTGCAGTGAGAGGCCAGATGTTATGGATACTTTTCAATAGCTGGAGTCACTGTGTTAAAAAATAACACTTGCTAACCTGATATTACAATGAACATACCATGTATCTACTTAAAGCTGTATTGTTTTACTTGCCTGTCTGTAAATGCTACATCCTAGGGGGTAAATATCATGTTCATTCCATTACCTGTGTTGTTATTAGGTCGAAGAGTCCCAAGCTTGAATTTTGCAGTGTGGCCACAGCCATGTGCTTTTTTTTTTTCCCCTCCCACTTCATTAAGTGTGTTGGTGCTTTTTAGGTATACAGTAGTTACATTCATCACTGGGATCTTGGATCTTTACATGTTGTATCTTGGTTCTTATTTTTTCCCCATACTCCTGCCTTCCCTTTACCCCTCCTCCCTTTCCTACTTACAAAGAATTTGTTTCCATTTTTTCCTTTTCTCATATTTTTTTCTTTTCCCTTATTTCCTTTCCCCTACCCTTCCCACTTCCCCTACTCCTTTAGCCCTTTTCTTCCTATTTCACATTATCACTTACACAGTTTAAACCTTATTTACACTTTTAGTTTTTCACACCAGAGAAACTATTTGGTATTTACACGTGTATCCTATTTATTTCACTGAAGGGTATGGTGTCATTATGTATCCATTTACCTCTCTAGTTTCTCATTCTTTAAGGCTGAGTAGTACTCCATTTAAAGGAAAAATTACATCTTCTTTATCCATTCTCTAGTTGATGGGCAATTGGGCAGTTTCCAAGTTTTAGCTATTACGAACTGTGCCACTGTAAACATGGGTGTGCATATATTGCTGTGGTATGATTCTTTTAATTCTTTTGGAAAGATACCCAGCAGAGAGATAGATGGGTCAAATGAGACCTCTACTCCTAGGTGATTTTTTTTTTTTTTTGTATCGGAGTCAAACTCCAGTCCTTGTACTTGTGAGGCAGGTGGCAGCACCAGTGCCCTAAATCCCTGTCCCTACTCCTTTTTTTTGAAGTATCTCCATATTGATTTCCACAGTGATTGCACCAGTCTGCACTTCTACCAACAATGGAGAAGGGTTCCTTTTTCCCCACAACCCCGCCAGCACTTGTTATTAATTTCTTGATAGCAGCCATTCTTTCTAGGGTGAGGTAGAATCTCAGCGATGTTTTCATCTGCATCTCTCGAATGACCAGTGATGTGGAACATTTTTTCATATGTTTACTTGCTGCTTTTACTTCTTTGTCTGAGAAATTTCTGTTCATTTCAGATGCCCATTTTTGAATTGGGTCTTTATATTTGGGGGGGGTCTGATTTTTTTTTGAGTTCTTTATATATTCTAGATAGTAGACCTTGCTCTGAGGAACAGCTGGTAGAAATTTTTTCCCACATTGCAGGTTGTCTCTTAGCTCTGTTGGTTTTTCTTGCAATGCAGAAGCTTTTTGATAAGGTGATTCTTTGTGTTAGTTCCTGTGCTACTGAAGATTTGTTCATAAAGTCTTTTCCTATGCCAGTGTCTTCGAGAATTCTGCCTAACTTATCTTCCAGCAAGTTTAGTGTTTCTGTTTTAATATTTAGATCTTGAATCCACTTGGATTTTAGTTTAGTGCATGGTGAAAGATAGGGATCTAGTTTTAATCTTAACACAGCCATGTGTTTTTGAAGTAGCAAGGATGGCCTGCCCTTGAAGGTCCAGCTCCAAGTTCAACACACTTTCTGTGCCTGTCTTGGCCTGCCTTAGACAAAGCCAGCATCACCCTCTCCACACGTCAGATCCTGTGAGCATCAATGACATTTCCACACATACCTGCAGGACCAGAAGATTTATCTACCTTGCCTTTCTACAGTAGGACTTATATTTCAAGTGACTACCAGTACAGCACAATTCCTTCATACAAAGAAATATGGACAGTCCTCTGGGTTTTGCTGCAACAAGACTCTGCCTGTCATAGTAGGGAGTATTTAATTACCCTCATCCTCACCTGGAGCCTCTCCTGTCTGTAACCTGGTCCAATGAGAAGTTCAGGCCTGGGGCTTAGAAAATTCAATGACCTTATGACTTCTGAGATTTTCCTTCCTGCCTCCTACAGATCCTTTTCCTTCTTTTTCTGCCTTTTTGACAGTGACAAGCTCTCATATCACAAGGAACTCTTGTTTCCAGAGCTGAACATGGAATTCTTATTTTCAAAGCAGGAGTCAACATGTCCTTTTGTGTATTGGTTTTATTCATAATATCATTCATTATAGAACATTTTTTTCTAAGCAGTACATTAGGAATTTTAAATTTGGGAACTAAAATTTCTTTCCTCTCCAGCTGTGTACCTTGTTCCCCTCCTGGGGAGGCAGGGACAGGATTACACTGCTTAAGGGGTACTTCTGCTTTGTACAGAGCACAGGAGTCTTGTACTTCTGAGTTCCAGGCTGCTTCTCCCAACCCCTGGATGAATTCATGGCCACCTAGAGACCTGGGCTGCTTTGAGGTACAAAGGCCTTTGGATACCAAAGGGCATTGAGCTGATGCATTGCCTCATCTCTGAGTCACTTTTAGCCTGCCAGCATCACTCCTAGACATTCCATCCAAGTTGTGACACATGGAGACCAGATTTGGAGGCCAGAGCCGAGTTACTAATACCCCTTCCAGCGGGTGATGTACTCAGCTGCTCTGTTGCTTCTTTCAGTCCCTTAAGGATTTGAAAACCTTGGTGAACATTAGGTGGGGAGAATGTAGGGCTTTTCTCAGGGAAGCTCAGGACTGTCTTGTTTTGGTGAGAGCCAGTTCCTACCAGTTTGTTCAGCAGGACATGGAGGCCAGGGGACCTTGCAGAGAGAGCTCCAGTGACCCAGCTTCTAATATCACCATTTATGCCTTGCCTCACCTCCTCTACCCAGGTCATCTGCTTGGGAGGAAAGTGACTGAAGAACCAGAGAGAGGTAGTCTGTAAAAGAGATTTGTAAAAACAGCTGAATTTTTTTTACATCATAGTTTTTCTGTTATAAGGCAAAATCTTCACAGTTCTCTTTCTTTCACTTTCCAGAAAAGTAAGATTTTCAGTGGATCCTGCAAGCGGTACCTTCAGAATGCTCTGATGCTGTCCATTGCTTTCTACTTGCTCCAGTGCCCTGGGGCGGTAGGGAGAGTTTGCCCCTCGGGGACATCTGGCATATGCCACTTGCATTCCTTGAGTGGAGACCAGGGGTGCTGCTGATGTCCTTCAGTGTGCTCCACGACAGTCATCTGGCCTCAGGTGTCAGTAGTCTCATAAGATGTGAAGCCTAAGCCCCCCTCATTTCTTTCCTGTACCACTATGTTCCTTCCAGAAAGAGGCTGTTTCCACTCTGAGCTCTCCCATCACATGCACTCTGCTTGGTCAGATGAGTGTTTAAAACGTAAGCTAAATCGTGCATTTCCCTGCTTAAAAGCTGCCCTCACAGCTGCAGTGAAATTATTTTTTCTTCCTTGCTCATGTGTCCTGGGTCCTGCCAGCCTTGGTGGTCTCAGCTGAGTGGACACAGCTGTGGGGTTTTCACCCCTGCTCCTCCCACTGTCCTGGCCATTCTGCCACCTTGACTTTGCAGTGGGGGTTCCTCTGCCCAGGTTTTCCATGCACAGACATTGTATGGCCAACATTTTCTTGTCTCCACCTGAGAGCCCCGAGTTGCATTTTCTGTACTGCCTCCATTACTGGCATCTTTCTGATTTATGTGTGTATTCTCTGTGTCTGTTTCTTCTACACTGGCCTCTGGACTACTCACTAGCAGGCACCACGTTCACTGCTATGCCCCAGTGTAGTGTCTTGTGCATACTGAATGCTCATTGGAGGATGATAAATAGTTACAATTGTGTCTTCTTTCTCCAACTTTCCACAGCTTTTAACATAATTAATTGATGTTTTTTGTAAATACGGATTATTTTAAATACAGAAGAGTTCAAAAAAGAAAGCAGAAATGCACCCCAAATCCCACCCACCAAACATATCAACTCTATTTATTTGGGTATTTGATTCAGATGTTTTTCTCAGCATAGATTCAGGAGCAGTAACAGGACCATGAGTGATTTTCTAAGAATGTCAACCTCTAACTTTTAATCTATTTTCAATGTACTACTCATTGTTCAAGAGAAAAGAGGGAAAAACAACAGTGAAACTCTCCACTGGAGAAGGCAGGGTGGGTGGACATTTGGTCTCTCCTGTGTGACTTCCCTGGGGTGTCTGACTTCTTATTTTAAAGCCTAAATCCATTGGTTGGTGAGAACCTGGTGGAAAGAACCCACTGTCAGAAGCAGTTGCTGCTAACTGACTAGTTGCTTTTGGAGCAGGTTGGTTAGGTGCTTAGTTGTTGAGATGATAAGAGTATATCTGCATCTAGGTAATGGCTGCCTGTGTGGTCTGATTTCTGCTGTTTTTGTGGTTCTTTTTGTTCATAGACTAGCAAGGAATGCTGCTGGGAAAATTGGAGGGGTCGCTTCAATGTGTTGAGGCCTTGCTGGGCTCATGGGGTCATGAGGAATCGAGAACAAAGCACTTTAGGAGTTCCCCCAAACCATCCGCTGAGGCCTGGGCTATAGAAGGCTTTGTGGGCGAGTACTGTTGCTACATTCAGCCTGGGAACTCAGGTACCTTGGCGTGCTTGCCTAAGCTCGGAAGCTGCCCAGCCCCAGTGTCCCATAGACAGTTGCCTGGATAGAGGGCTGGAAAACGCTGTTCTCAGAGCAGTGAGTCATTTTCTTCCTACTCCCCCGCTTTCCTCCCTGTTCCACCTCCTCCAGTCCCAGCAGGCTAGACCCTTGCAAATGGGCAGCATTTTTCTGGGGAGTTTTCTTCTTGCCTTTTGGTGTCAGAGTTCAGACTTCTGTCTCCAAAGTAAAGAGGCCACTCTGAGAGGGCTCCTGTTTAAAGATCTAAAACCCTCTAGGCTGGAGAATTGTTGCAAGCTGTTGCTCTTGGCCAAGTCTTTGAGGGGGGGCAGAAATACCCCTCCCATCCCAGTCCCAGAAGTGCCTGTTTTTCCTGTGAAACACTTGCTCCTTCCTCCAGAAAGGGGCAACCCCACCCCCACCCCGTTTCCCTGGAAGGAGGCAGAGAATATGTAAGACCAGGTACCATGTGCCTGGGATCAGAGATCCATGAAGGCAGATGTATGAATGGCACAGGGGGTTGTTGAGATAGCCACAGTGTGGTTGTAGGAAGAGTTCTCTGTCACCACAAACTACCACCCTAGTGCCCAGAGCCTCTCACCTCTGCACCCCAGGGAGGGAGGTAAGACAGTGAGATGATAGATCATAAGGTTTGGGTGAGACCTTTCCCTTGCATTCTCAGTAACAGTGACTGTAGTGGTTTGTGCATCTGATTGAGCCTACTAGTTAGTCACTCTGCTCTTGGAGGCCCAAGGGTATGGCACTGGGGCTGTGAACTATAAATGGAATGTGTGCTTACAGGTCAGAGGGCACATAGTGACTCAAGGGTGGGTGAATCAGCTTTCCCTTAGAAATCCAGTTGTGCATCCCAGACGCAATGCCCAGAGAGCTTCCCACTAAGCCATACTGACCTTCTCTTCTTCCCAAGGTTATGAAGCCCCTGCCTTTAATCCCAAGGTAAACAGCTGAGGTTCTCAGCTTGTCTTCAGAGCTTTTTTGTTGTTGTTTTGTTTTCCTGGTACTGGGGATTGAACATAGGACCTTGTGCTTGCCAGGCAGGTGAAGCACCACTGAGCTACATCCTGGCCCCTCATTTCCTTCTTCCTGTAAGGAGTTTGTATTAGTCTGACCTTCCCTGAGTGACCAAAGGTCTTGCTTTTCTTTAGAAGAAAAAAAATTTCCTAAAACCTTCTTCATTCATTGGTTCACCCAATACTTGTTTCTTGGACTCTTGTGGTATCAGCTGATTTTTGCTGGAGGAGTATTATTTCCTCCGTGTGTTTTTTTTTTTTTTTTTT